TTTACAACTAAATCTACTTCCTGCAGTACTTTGTAGCTCTTTTTATGGATACATGTCCTCCATGTGTTTGGGCAGAAAGACTTCCTAGTCTCCACATGTCTTTCGTTTTCCAGCTGTTTCTCCAGAAGCAGAAAATGTTTAAAAAGCCAGAATCAGGTGCTCTATCATTTTCTATAAAAAAAAAAAATTCCTTGTAGATCCAAAAGTATAGTAATAATAACGATAATTTTGAAAGCAAACACAGGCAAGAAGTTGAAACAAGGCAAAAAAAAACCACTAACTAAACAGAGATACGGAAACGTTTACAGAAGAACGTGTCGGCGGAGGCGACTAATCAGCCTGAAAGTTGCTCCCTGGTTTCAATCAGGTAGTGCTTACGTGTATAACAGAACATGGATGACATCGACTTTACTTACTTTCGTTTTGAACACATAAATAATAATGTCTGGTCGAGGAAAGGGAGGTAAGGGACTAGGAAAGGGTGGCGCTAAGCGCCATCGTAAAGTCCTTCGTGACAACATCCAGGGTATTACCAAGCCGGCTATTCGTCGTCTTGCCCGCCGAGGTGGCGTCAAGCGTATCTCCGGTCTGATTTACGAAGAAACCCGTGGCGTGCTGAAGGTGTTTCTGGAGAATGTTATTCGCGACGCCGTTACCTACACCGAGCACGCCAAGAGGAAGACCGTCACCGCCATGGATGTTGTGTACGCTCTCAAGCGTCAGGGCCGCACTCTGTACGGCTTCGGCGGCTAAGCGTGAAAGCTACAGCGAGGAAATCTAAAGACCCAAAGGCTCTTCTCAGAGCCACCCAATTTCTCCTAAAAAGGCAAAAGCTAAGTTTGGCGTATGTCATGCTTGTTTCAGTTTTGTGACCAAATACAAATTCTTTCGCGTTTTTCCGTCTGACAATCCGGCAAGTTTACCTACTCAATTCAAGGGATTTATCACGAGCTTTGATGTAATTGGTGATCCGGACTAACTGGTATAGACTGAAGTTGCATTTTATTCGGTGGTGCTAACTATTCTAGTTTGGTTGGGAGATAAGAGCTACTCGTCCTGCGTTGTGACCGCGAAGTTTGCTAACTGTAAAGTGTACCGCTTACAAACATGCCCAGTGAGATTGTTTTCAAAAATCATTCTTTTCTTCTGCAATGAATAGTTCTTATTAACGGCCAGGGCTACATTTTCATACTTGACGACATTCTTTTTTGGTTTCTTTATTGCTGTAATTCCAAAAAGACTACATGGGAAGAGCAGAAGATCATATGACGTCACACTGCCACCTAAGGGCCACATTTTACATGCATTTTCCAGTATGCATCATTTACTAAATGGCGTCATCTAATATTGTACATATAATGTACTTTGTTTTATGTAGTATCTATTAAACAGTAAATATTTTGTACAAAATTGACCTTTGTACAGAATAAAACAATGGCAGAACTTCAAACAGTGACTATACAGTATACTGCTTAAAATGTAAATAAGATATTGGTGATTGGATATTGCTTTAGGATTTATTACTATTTCCTAAGTTGTGACAGCAGTGAAAGTTGTCATTATTCATACACCACAGTGTACCACAAAATGCATCCTCTGCATTTAACCTACGTGACATAGTGGAGACCAGCTAATTTAGCACCTAGGAGCAGTAGCTTGCTCACAATACCTCAGTGGAATTCTGAGCATCTTGGAATCCTATCCTGTATAACACTAAATCCCATTTCAGGGGACCTTGTGAAAAATACATCTTGGAAATTGGATTGAATTCTAACACATATATGTGTTAGCACAAGGCTTTAAAATGCTAGATGCACAAGATCAGTTGTGGTGCTTCTTCCAGATCTATATGATAGCTGGTTTCCATAGTGTAGTAGTTATGTTTGCCTTACAAGCAAAAAGTCCTTGGTTTGAAGCCGAGTGGAAACATGGTTGCTTTTCCCAACCGATCAGTGGTGACCTAAGGGTTAGGGAAGCGCACTTGTAACTCTGAATATTACTTTGGCAAAATCTTTTGTGCTTTAAGATGCCATTTCAAATGTTATTCAAAGTAATATTCAGTCTTACCATCAAAGTGAAATTTCAGCACAGATCTACATAGAAATTTACACGTGTGTGTAATTTTATTTATATATATATATATATATATATATATATATATATATATGTTTGTGTATAGTGTGTGTGTGTGTGTGTGTGTGTTTGTGTATCAGGCCAGAATGCACATGAATCATCCTGAATCCTAGGTTCAACCAGGTTCATTGGACAGAATCTTCTATCCAGTACCCTGTAGTTTTTTCCATTACAGAAGCCTCTGATCACTCCATGGATGTTCAGCATTTTCCCATGCCAGTTGAAGACAGCCTCAGCAAGGTCCTGTCTCCCCCTCCTTGGGTGTCCTGGGGCCACCTGATCTCTGTTCCCATGACCTCTTCAAACTTATCACATGTGAGCTTTCACTTAGGTAACTGCCTTCACTGGCCTGTTAGCACCTTTGTCTCAGGAGACCCATGTAAGCATTGGTTTGAAGTCTCCTCCTTCACCTTGACGGTTTCCCTCACCACAGGTATCCAGCAATGAGTTCTAAGATTACTATCTTGAGGGACCCTGGCAGACTAATGGCTACATCTCTCTGCAGCTGCCGCAATGACTGAACGTGGCCCATTCAGACTGTACCCTTGACTTCACTTGATACATGGGAGAAGTGTTACTGAAGGTGTGAGTTGAATTCATCTCACACAAAGGTTTCAAGCAGACATTCCCAGCGAACACTGACTGCTTGATTTGGATTTCCTGGTCAATCTGGGCTCCTCCTCAATGTGCTGATTCTAACTCAGTAAAAAATGCTGATTGGTTGTATTGGTTTAGCTCTGCTGCCTCTTTGCCTGAGTGTCCAGAACAAACTGCAGCTGGATAACAGTGCTGTAGTTTATCCATAAGTTTTGACCTACTGAGTTCTGCTACCACACTTGCATAAGAATGTCTTTGTATTCAAACATATGCGAATATCCCCAACACTGCTACACCACCACCCTGAAATGATACAAGGCAAGATGGATCCATACTTTCATGTTTATGCTAAATTCTGACCCTACCATCTGAATGTCACAGAAGTCAAACCTTATCTGACCAGGCATGGTTTTTGCAATCTTTCCACTTTCGTTATTCAATTTTGGTGAGCCTCTGCCAATTGTAGTCTCAGTTTCCTGTTCTTAACTGACAGAAGTGGCACCCAGGATGGTCTTCTGCTGCTGTAGACCATCTGCTTCAAGATTTGACGTGTTGTGCCTTTAGATATGCTGTTCTGCATACCGAGTGGTTATTTGAGTTAGTTACCTTTCCTTCTGTTTAAACCAGTCTGGCCATTCTTCACTGAACTAGAACACCACCATTCACTGGATGTTTTTTTGGCCCATGATTTGTAAATATTAGAGATGATTGTGTGTAAAAATCCTAGTAGATCAGAAATTTCTGAAATTCTCATACCAGCTCGTCTGACACATTCAAAGCTGCTTAAAATCACCTTTCTTCTCTTTTCTAGTGTTTGATGTGAATATTAATTGGCCAGCTTCTGATCTGTATCTGCATGGTTTTATACATTGTGCTGATTAGATACTTCCTCTAACAAGCACTTGAACAGGTGCACCCAATAAAATGGCCAGTCAATGCAAGTCAAGTCATATTATTTATATAGCACTGTTAAAAACAACCAGTGGCTGACCAAACTGCTTTACATCAATAAAAACAATAAGCATAAAAAGCTAGGGGGCAAAAGCAAATTACATAAAACAAATAAAATTATCAAACAAACATTACACTTACAAAAAAAAATCAATAAAACACACAGCACATTTATCTAAAAAGCTAAGCAAATAAATATGTTTTTAGCCTAGACTTAAGACATTCAATGGTTGGGGCAGATAGGACATGGAGAGGGAGTTTGTTCCACAACATGGGCCTGGCTACTGAGAAAGTGTGGTGGCCCTCCCTCAAATGGCCGGTTGGTGTGGAGAGTAGCAGAAGATCAAATGACCTTTGGGCTCTCTGTGGCCAGTCCGGATGTATGAGATCACTGATATGAGCTGAACCCTCAGATCTAAAGGCATGAGGTAACTGTGCCACACTGTCTTCATCCATCCATACATTTTCCAACCAGCTTATTCTACTGGGTTGCGGGGGGTCCGGAGCCTATCCCGGAAGCAATGGGCACGAGGCAGGGAACAACCCTGGACAGGGAGCCAGCCCTTCGCAGGGCACAACCACACACCATTCACTCACACACATGCACACCTATGGGAAAGTTATTAACCTCAGTCAGCCTCAGTATGTCTTTGGACTGTGGAGGGAAACCGGAGTGACTGTCTTCGTCATTATAATTATTATTATTATTTACAGGTACAATGACAAAACTGAGTGGTGATATGTGTAAACATGATGGTGAATAAAGACAAAAAAGGTCGAAACAGACAAAGACGACCAAGTATATAAATCGTGGCTATCTATGTTTTACGGAATATCTATGTTTTACGGCACCCACTGGAGCCGACCAATCGGGCATGAAGGTTGTTCCGTGGTTTCAATCAGGTAGTGCTTATGTGTATAACAGAACATAGACGGTGCACGCTTTATTTTCACTTCGAAAGCATAAGTAACAATGTCTGGTCGAGGAAAGGGAGGTAAGGGACTCGGAAAGGGTGGCGCTAAGCGCCATCGTAAAGTCCTTCGCGACAACATCCAGGGTATTACCAAGCCGGCTATTCGTCGTCTTGCCCGCCGAGGTGGCGTCAA